GATTTCTGTCACCATGGCAACACCAGAGCTGTCACTCAACACATGGAAACAAAGTAACTATGTTACTGATTTCAAAAAGTAACGCAGATATTTCCTTCTAAATTAAAAAAGTAACACGTTACTTTACTAGTTACTTGAAAAATTTAATCTGATTACGTAACTCACGTTACTTGTAATGCGTTACCCACAACACTGATAGTAATGCATTACTTTTAAAATTACAATGAAATATCTGGGTTACATTTTTAAATGAGTAACAGCAGTTACTTTGTTTCCATGTGTTGAGTGACAGCTCTGTTGTTGCCATGGTGACAGAAATCACTGCAGAGTGCAGAGACACTTCCTTCAGCCTGAGGCTTATTCATTTAAATTTTGGTGTGAAAGTACCCTTATAGTTGCCAAAATATAACTTTTGGGTTTTCTATTGGGTTATTAAAAAGAATTAAGCAAGCCCAGCCCAGGTGACAAAAAGTAACGCAAAAGTAACATAATGCATTACTTTCCATAAAAGGTAACTACACAATCAGTTACTTCTTTATGGAGTAACGCAATACTGTAATGCATTACTTTTAAAAGTAACTTTCCCCAAAACTGGCCCTGAACGAGTGAATCTCTGACCTGCTGGACTCCAGTGTCTGCAGAGGCGAGCGCAGAGTCGGTGATGCAGCAGGAATCTCTGAATAAACAGTTGTGACTTGTGTTCTGATATAAAGAGAACAGATGTTCACGTGTGCATCAACATGATCTGACTATGAGTTATCATCATGTCTAGATAGGGCTGGACGATATGGCCAAAATTGATATCACGATATATTTCTTAATTTCGGTCGATACGATATAATTCCGATAGTGTGTGTGTGTGAGAGAGAGTGTGAGTGTGTGTGTGAGTGAGTGTGAGTGAGTGTGTGTGTGTGTGTGTGTGTGTGTGTGATTGTCCTCCAGCGGTTTGCTGAAGTCACACAGAACATGATTTGAATTATTATGAAAATTGGCAGCTGATATGATTCTGAGTGAAATGATTCTGACCTGTCAACATCATTCCCTGATTTCCGCTGACCCAGAACAACTTTACCAGGGTTAGGATCATAACTGCAACAGAAGCATTGGGAATGAGTATTAGGAGCATTTCATCATATGTGTCTGTGTGTGTGTGAGTGTGTGTGTGTGTGAGAGAGAGTGTGAGTGAGTGTGTGACTGAGTGAGTGTGTGTGTGAGTGTCACTGAGTGAGTGAGTGAGTGTGTGTGTGTGTGAGTGTCACTGAGTGAGTGAGTGAGTGTGTGTGTGAAGGTATATATGGTTTATGAGGACACTTCCTGTGTCCCCGTAAAACAAAAGGCTTAAAAAACATACAAAACAGTGTTTTATGAAATTAAAAAATTGCCAGCAGTTTCCTGTGAGGGGTAGGTTTAGGTGTAGGGTTGGTGTAGGGCAATAGAATATACAGTTTGTACAGTATAAAAACCATTACGCCTATGGAGAGTCCCCGTAAACCACAAATACAAGTATGTGTGTGTGTGTGAGTGAGTGTGTGTGTGAGTGTGTGTGTGTGAGTGTGTGCGCGTGTGTGTGAGAGAGAGAGAGTGTGTGTGTGAGTGAGTGTGTGAGTGAATGAGAGTGTGTGTGTCATACTCGACGAGCTCGTCCTCCTCTGGGTTTCTTCTGATCCAGCTGTTGTCTTTCAGGACGGCTCTCTTCTTGCCGCTGTCTGCGTTCATCACAACTCAAACATGTTTACACAACATCATCATCACACACATGTACATGTACACACACCTATACCTGTCTGT